GTGCTTATTTTTAGAAGCCACAATTTTATTTAATACAAATTACCGGGTATGCAAATATAAACAGTCACATGCGTTGTTATTTTCGCGCTATGTAGTAATTAATCTTTCTCAACCAAAACGTAATTGTGGTCAGGCGAGAAATCCCCTACGTGATTACAGCCATCGATAAAAAAAGCTCTCTGCTTTCTTTATCTCTTTCCTCCTACTTTGCTTTATTGTGATTTTGGGAGGCGTATGACCATTCTGAACCTTTGAGAAGTCTAGGAACCAGTAATATTTGCAGCAGGTTTGAGTAACCAAAGGGACGCCAGAAGTTATAAAAGAACCCAGCTCGCCTTAACCAACATCCCAACTTCAGACTCTACAATACTAGGCAAGTAACTCAACATGAGCAATGGATCAGTCACCCCCCTTTCAACTGGATCAACATCAAGCTTGGAATACGAAGGGACCAACATGTTCATTGACATCACCGGAGTCCCAGACTTACCTCTCATCATCCACAGATACAACAACTATCTCAGAGTCAACGACGATACCATCGGGGATATTCCCTTCCAGTACCCACCTCGACATTACCAGTATATCGACGGACCCAATTACTTTCTGGTCCGATCAAGACATGATGGACATCTGGCAGCAGTATTGACAGCGATGCAGTCAGAAATGTCATCTGTAGCGATCCCGAGGGATGGGAATCAGCCGGAATTGGAGCCAATCTGGAGATCGATAGATCACTTGCAGCAATCTCCAGGGACAACGGCTTCTGGATCAGATATCTGCCTTTCCTCAGCATGTTTGAGTGAATCGAATCAATATGTGGAGTAATGTCAGGACTGACCAGTGGTTCTGCAGCAGTAGAGAACGAGTGGAGACCTTCCTGCGATGCATCAGACAATTTGACGGATGGGAAAACGAGTGGCCCTACACAATTCCAAGAAGCCACCCACCTCAGCCACCTAGATACAACAATTGTAGTTCAAGTAATAGTCAACGTGATTAAGTCACGTGATTTGTTTAAACAAAAAAAATTTTCCAATATTAATATAATATGTATTTGCTCACCCTTAATTATAAGTATGTTATTAGCAACCCTGTTGGGGAAATATTTAGAACACCTTGCTGAACATTTGAAACAAGTGTTTGAAGAAGAGGACATTGAACAATAATGCCCCCTCGTCGACAGGTCACATTGGATCGAATTGCTCTCTCTAATATGGAAAGATTAAGTGCCACAGCGAAAGAAATTATGATTCAAGCAATATTGGACATTGCTAATGCGACAGCAACAAATACGCACAGGGTCAACCAAAAATTACATAGATCAAATATTATCACGTAACTTTCCCCAAGTCCGATTTCCTATAAGGACAAGAACAATATACAGTCGCACCTGTCTATTTGCATACTTGTCGGGACCGATAGATTTTTATGCAAATAGACAGAATATGCAAATATACGTTATCACATGATTGTATACAGATCACATGATTTGATACTCAAAATTTTTATTATTATTATGTCTTTTTGTACAATATTTTATCGCTATCATTTTATGATGAAGAAAACT